CCACTCAGAAAGTTGGTCAGACCTACTCCCACCTTGGGAAGGGCCCTGGTATGGATCGATCTCAGGCTGGGCCGCGAGGCCCAGCTGTTACTGTGTATCTGGCGAGTGCCTTCGCATCATGTATGCTTGTTCGGACCAACATACTGTGCGGCATAAATGGGTGATCAACAAAGACAGCACTAGACCCGAACGCGGAGTTAAGCTTTACACTGATCGCAAGGATGATAAGCAGCCTGGTGGATGGTCCAAGCAGATTGTAGGTCACTGCCCCGCCTTCGAGCGCGATTTGTCCAAGTTGGCGAAAGAAAAGGCCAACGAGGTCATGCATGCAAAGAGGGAGACAGCCAAGAGGAAGAAGATACCGCAGAGGGGCGTGCGGTCGGGAGCAGACCACTCAATGAGCTGCCCCGTTCTGGCGACCATCGGCACGAAGACTCGTGGTTCAGGCGGCAGCAGTGGGCCATCTGCTGACCCAGCAGAGGTGAGACACATTTTTCGAGATGCGTAGGACATTACACACGCAGCTGCTTGAAGTCTATACCTGCTGCGGGTATGCCACGCTCCTGCTGCACCCCGCCACCCATGTTGCCGCCGTTGACGACTGCACACAACATCATGCTACACACGCGGTCACGGTAGTATGCTGAACGGAAGGATGTCACAAAATACATAAAAGTATCGGTCCGACTCTGCCGCCGACACACTGTTGTACGTGCCTCTGTGCTGCCACCAACTTACAGCTGCCGTTTGACTGGAGGGACACAGCTGCCTCATTCCTGGAAGCAATGAAGTCCATGACTTCCGAAGCCCTTTTGGCATGTCTGAGCCACGAGGGGATACCAACTGCGCAGGAGCTGCAGGAGCTGTAGCTGCAGCTGGAGGACGCGCGGCAGTTCCAAGCGACATCGCGGGCAGCTCTCAAGGACGCAGCCGTGTTTGGCCGGACCAACCAGGGTAGGCAAACCTATCAGACGATTCTCACTGCCTGTGCCTACGATGGGGATGAGGGGACGCAAGCGTTGCCAAGCTACCGGAAGGCCGAGATACTCGGCGTTGACCCGGCTGAATTTTCGCGTGCGCGGCAGCGGGTGAAGTCGCTGCAGCCCCACCTCCCTCCTGCAGCAGCGCTGGAGGCTGGAGCGTACTCGTACCGCTCCCGACGTAAGAGGAGCGACGCCACCCCGCCCGAGCTGGTAGAGCTCATGAAGGATTTCTGGCACAACCATGCGGTATCGCGCCTCACGGGAAACTCCGCTCACATTTTCCGGGAGTCCAAGAGTCCAACTGCACGCACACACCCTCGCCGGCAGCTCATGGTACAGGGAGGGGGGGAGACGGTGTTCAAAAAGTTTCTAGAGTCACCAGAGTTCGACAACTTCAAGCGTATCTGGAGGTCAGACAAGGGTGAGGACATCAAGGATCCCGGGCGCACCCGGTTTCTCTCGACGCGGTGCAAGTGCTTNGCAAGGGTGAGGACATCAAGTATCCTGGGCGCACCCGGTTTCTCTCGACGCGGTGCAAGTGCTTGAAAGCTCCGGAGACAGACCAGTGCGCGTGCAAGATACACACGCAGCAAACCTTTTACCTGGAGGCGCTGGAGAGTATGACACTTGTGGACCGCCCTGTATGCGATTGCCGATGGTGTAGCGCCGAGGACGGCGACGCGATATGGAAGGGACACTGGCGGCACTTAGGGACTTTCTCGGACGCCCTGGCTTGCCCAAAGGTGGACCTTCGAGCGGGGGACCCGGAGGAAGACAGCGAGGTCATGGGACGGAAGCCGGAGTGTGCTTCCTCCGACTGTAATGTCTGTGGGTTCGGGAAGGAGGGGGGCATTCCGTTCTGTAAGGTGCTGGAGACATCGAAGCAGTTAGTGAAGTGGAAGCACTACGGTGACCTGGAGAGGCCCGGGAAGACAACGCTAAGGGACCAAGTGTTGGAGAAGGAGGGCAAGCTCTGCAACCTGTGGGCGGACTTCAAAATGCACAGCAAGGTGTACATGGCGCATCACTCAAAGGCCAAGTGGCAGAGAAACTGCCACAACACCTGCCTACGAACGTTTCAGGACGGCGACATAGTCATCGAGACGGACTTCATCGAAAAGTACACCCATGAACCCCAAAAAGTTCTAACCTGCGCGAGACACGATACCACTACCCTCATGGTCGCCATCGTACACTTCTGCCCACAAGAATGGGAGGGCGGCGGCAGGGTCCACCTGAGCGAGACATGGGTTTTTGCTTCCGCGGACCCTGCCCACGACTTCGACTTCCATCTCCATGCCCTCAAGCAGATAGCTGACTACTACTTGGATGGTGAGGGGTCTGCAGCTACTNTTTGAGCGAGACATGGGTTTTTGCTTCTGTTCGTGAGTCTGCGAACATTGCTGTTGGATACATGTGCTGGATGATTT